CCGCCAAGTGTCTTGGTGCCCAGCGGCCTGTGAGCTCACCAAGGTGGCCCAACAGCTGGGGCACCCTTGGGTCCTCCCCCATCGGGCACCAGGAGGGGCACAGTAAATGCTGGATGAAGACACATGCACTGTGCCCACCCGTGCCCATCTGTGGCCAGTGAGTGGTCCTGATGCCACACTCCTTCCTCCAGGGCGTCAGGCCAGCGAGTCCCTGCTCACCCGTGCCCGATGCTACGCGGTCCTGGGCCAGAGGAAGACCGCCCTGTTCGACTTCAACTCGGCGCTGCGGGCCGAGCCGGGGAACGTGCAGGCCCTGTGCGGGCGGGCGCTCCTGCACCTGGCCCTGGACCAGCAGAAGGTACAGGCCCACCCCCCACACCTGGGACTGGGCAAGCGGAGTGGGGGGTGCTTTGGGGGAAGAGAAGAGAGGGAGTGGGGTCAGGCCATCCTGGCTGTGGGATGCCCATCAAAACCCTGTTGCTCTGGGGCTCACGGGCACCTCATCCTCACATCCCCGGTTTCGGGAGCCTCTCCCTTTCTTCCGATGAGTCCTGTGCCTCCACCTTGGTCAGCATGGACACATGCAAACCCTCAGGGCTGCCAGGGGACTCCCCAGCTTAAAATAATGAGACCTGGGCTGCCACCCTCGGTGCCACGCTGAGCTGTCTACACAGGGCCTGTGGATTCGGATCATTGGCATGCAGGGCAGGGCAGGAGGGTCCACTGCCAGGCCCCGGGCAGGTGCCTATCACAGAGAAGACGTGCCCAGAGGCAGCCACCACCGAGTGACCCTGGACAAGGCACTTCTCAGCCAAGACAATGTCACTGGCGGGTGGCTGAAATTGGCTGTCTGCCCAGAGCCTCGCTGGATGAGAGCAGCCCGGGGGTGAACTGCCTGCCAGGTTCCCTGTTTCGCCTAAGAGCTGGTGTCCTCGGGAGTGAGAAAAACAATCCAAGCTGCCACCACACGAGGGCGTCTCCCAGGGCGCTTACTTCTGCCCGTCAGGATGCCTGTTTCCCCCAACAGCATGTGTGGGCAGCCTCATGCCAATTCCCACCTGGGCACACTTGGGGTTGGGAGCCCAGCACTCTGTGTGTCCTTTCCTGGGCTGGGCCAGCACCCGTGTTTCCCAGGACAAGCCCATGAAGCAAGTGGGCTTGGCCAGGCCCCTGCTGCAGGGGGACCCCGGGCGCTCTCCACAGGCCATTAGCTCTTCATTTTAGCTGACACACTCACCAGGTTGTGAGAGGGCAGGGACTGGGCTGTCTACCCTTCCTGGTGTCCCCGATGCCCAGACACTGGGAGAACAAACGCTTGACAATACCCAGCCAGGATGACTTCTGCCACCTGCCCTGCACTCCCCCTTGCAGGAGGCTGTGGACGACATCCTCTCTGCTCTGAAGCTGGATCCACGGACGGCGGTCCCTGAGATCCGCTCTCTGAAGCCGGAGGCCCAGGCCCTCATCACGCAGGTCCTGTCATCCGGCTGCCGGGCCCTCCTGAGCCAGCTGCTGGACACTGGGGCCCCCCTCAGTGACAGGGACGTCCAGGGCCTCCTCGCTGCAGGGGAGGCACTGATCAAACTCGATGCTGGGCAGCTGAGCGGGCACATCCTCCTGGTAGACGTGCTCACCGCCATGGGTATGCAGCGGCACAGTGTCTGTCCCGGCTCCTCTCACCCCTGGAGTCTCTCCTGTAAAACCAGAGAGAGACCCTAGACTCAGTGGCTTCTAAGATCCCTTCCACCCGAATCCCAGCTCCTGGGACTAGGTCCCTATGTGGGCCTGGTGTGCATGTGTCTCTAGCTCTCAGTCACCTGCGTGGCTTTGCCTGCAGGGGGCAGAAATGAGCAGTGACTTGGGGCTTCTTACAAGGCTCCGGCCTCCTGTGTTAATTCACTAGATGTTGACCAACTGTCCCCAGGACCCAGGTCCCATGGGAGGTGGGGATATGGGGGGTTTCTTACTCCCACATGTGCCAAAATGTCGGCCTTTCCTGAAAAATCCTGGATACATTTCAGCACTAACTTGAAAGGGGAGGCCCCTGTGCAGCCTGCATGTCCCCGCCTGTCATCCTCACCTCCGGTCCAGCTCCGGCCCCATGCTATCTGCTCCCGTGGGTGCCCAGGAAAGAGCAGACCCTTGTGGTGACCACAATGAGGGGCTCAGAGCCCTGCTGCTTGGCCTGGGGGACATGGACTTCAGTGACACCTCCCCAGGTGGGGGTACTGGTAGCAGACAAGTCCATGTGACCAGCACGGTGTCACCATGTCCCTCTGCTCCTGACTGTCCTTCCCGGGGCCAAACCCTTCCCTCAGCCTGCTGCCCCACAGCCAGCACAGAGCAAGAAAAGCTGTGGTGGGCTCCCAGCACGGTGGCCAGGGAGGCCCACCTCTTTACCCCCTGGCCCCAGTGCCACCCTGACCATCCTTCCCGAATCCCTGACAGGCAACTATGAAGAGGCTGGCGCCCACCTACAAGAGGCCCTGCGCCCCACTCCGCCATCAGAGGTGGCCCAGGCCCGGCGGGGCCTGCTTGGGCTCAAGAAGGGAGACGTGCCGGCTGCTGCTCGGGACCTGCAGTGCCTGGTGGAGACAGACAGCGGGGACCTCGGCTTCCTGCTGCGCCTCCTGGAGGCCTCGGAGCGGCAGAGCCTGGCCCAGGTGTGTGCAGTGGCCCAAGGAGCCCCCACATCAGCCCCTCCCCAGCACCATGAGCACTTTGGGCAGCTCTGCATTCCCTGTGTGCTGATTTCAGGTGGGTGTGGGGAGGGTGGGGTTGTGAGCCATAGGCACCCAGGTGTCACCATCTCAAGCTAAGCTCTGGCAACTCCAGTGACCTTCCAGCTTCTTTGCAGGAGGCATATAAACAACAGGTGACTTGGGTGGGGGAGAGGGAGGGGATCCCCTCCTCAGAGCCAGGTGGAACCAGCCAGGAGCACCTTGCTCTTGCCGTGGGCCTATCCCAACCCCGGGTCAGGCCAGGAGAGACTTGTTCCTCCCAGTAAGAGCGTGGGTAGGGAGGCGGCTCCTACAGGTGGGGAGCTGAGAGGGGCTGTGAAGGGATGTGGGGCTGGCTGGTTTTTCATTCTACTCTTTATCTGCCAAGAATGTATGAGCACCTTCCCCAGATGCTGGGGGGAGGGGGGCACAGCCCCGCCCTGTGGCCCTGGAACCTCAGGGAAGTCAATAGGGGTTCACCTCAGAGAGTGTCAGTGTCGCAGACCCCAGAGCAGGGCAGTGGTGAGGTCGCACTGGAGGTGAACCCAGGGTGGGGACAGACCGGCCTAGGCAACGGCCTGGATGTGGGACAGAGCTCAGAATATTCAGGAAAGCAGCTAATGTGTGGAGTGGAGGAAGCGGGGAGCTGGGGTGGAGGGCGGTTTCCAGCCTGAACTCTAGTGGAAGCCAGTCTCAAGGAGCAAGCGGGGCCGGGGCAGCGGGCAGCGTGTGGTCGGTTCTGCTCTGACCACTACCCGGTGCACTGGGCGAGGCTGCAGGTGGGGGTGGAAACCCGTGCATCCCCGTGCACCCCCGTGCATCCCCGTGCATCCTCGGTGCATCCCCGTGCACCCCCGTGCATCCTCGGTGCATCCCCGTGCATTCCCCGTGCATCCCCCGTGCATCCCCGCGCATCCCCCGCGCGGCTGAATTCGGCCTTTGGGGGGCGTAGGGGAGGCCAGGAGCATTGCATGCTGGAGCCCACCGACTCGGGGCGCCCATGGCTGTCGGGGGCTCCAGCGCTCGGTCCGCCATAAAGAGAAACAGCGCCAGGCGTTTCCACGAGGCGTTTATTTAATAGAGGCGCTGGCTGCGCCCGAAGAACAAAGCGCAGC